TTTTTTTTTTTTTTTTTTCCTATCCGCTTCCTTTCTCACTTTTCTAAAGATGCTTTGCCAGTGTAATTAACATCTCCTTTGGACCAGACCCCTTCTGTCTTCTGGATTTGCTGTCCTGCCTCCTTTTTTATTCCTTGGCTCCCTCTGCCATGTCTCTACACAGTTCGTTCCTTTTATCCCTCATTCCCTTTTCCATTTCTCCTTGGTTTTCTCTCTACACCTCTGTTGCCTTCTTCCTTTCACCTCCTGCTCCTGTCTCCTCCTAAGTTTTGCAAGTGTATACTAATGAAGAAGAGGAACATTAAGTCTTAAGTGACTGAAGAACTCACTGTTAAAGGGATGGTCATTTCTCAAAGCTGCTTTCTTTTCTAACTCCAGAGTTCTTCAGTATCCCCATCAGCCAGTTTCCGAGGTGCCGAGAAGCACAGAAACTCCACTGACTACTCCTCTGATAGCAAAAAGCAGAAAACTGAAGAAAAGGAAATCGCAGCTCGTTATGTAGGTTCATTCACCTTTGCTTTGGGGGAGGCCAGTTTATTCCGCTTTTTATCAGCAGCTATTTTACCCTTTGACTGTTATCAACCACAATTAGAACACAAGAGAAAAAAAACATCTACTAGGAGAAGAAGCTAGTGATTGCATTTATAGCTGGATCTCAGTGGGCTAGCTGAAGTCCTCTGTGCGTGCAGGTCCGTGCACACGTGTCGTGAGTGAACACAGTGCTTTATCTGGAAGCTAATAGAAGACATCTTAGGTGTTCCATAATATCATTTCTATAGATGTATTTACTTCCCTCTGTGTATTTCAAGGTGGCTGGATTTTCTCTGGTCAACTAGAAATGTTAAGGAAAAATATAAAATCATAGAAAACCTGGTAAAATGCCTAAAATGAACTTGTGCTAAGGAATAAAGCAGGTTTTGTTGACTGTAACTTGCAGAGGCACCCAAATGTGTGTCCAGCATGGGTGAAGCTCATTTTTCTTCGGTGACTGGCCCTCCAGGGCACATAGTGAAGGGAACAAGCTGGATGGCACTGGGGTGGATGCAGGCAGTCCCCTCTCTGCCCACTGTGGAGCTGCCCTGCAAGACTGTAGGCCTCAAAACAAGGCTGCAAGCTTGAATTTTCATGTGACATCTCCCAATTTTATTATTTATTTATTTATTTATTTAAATATAATTTATTGTCAAGTTGGCTAACATACAGCATATACAGTGTGCTCTTGGTTTTGGGGGTAGATTCCCGTGATTCATCGCTTAGGTACAACCCCCAGTACTCATCCCAACAAGTGCCCTCCTCCATTCCCATCACCCATTTTCCCCCTCCCCCGCAATCAACCCTCAGTTTGTTCTCTGTATTTAAGAGTCTCCTATTGTTTGCCTTCCTCTCTGTTTGTAACTATTTTTTCCCCTTCCCTTCCCCCATGGTCTTCTGATAAGTTTCTCAAGTTCCACATGAGTGAAAACATTTGATATCTTTCTCTGACGGACTTATTTCACTCAGCATAATACTCCAGTTCCATCCACAGTGTGGAGGTTCCTCAAAAACTTAAAAGTAAAACTACCCTGTGACCCAGCAATAGCACTACTAGGAATTTATCCAGAGGATACGGGAGTGCTGATTCACAGGGGCATATGTACCCCAATGTTTATAGCAGCACTTTCAACAATAGCCAAATTATGGAAAGAGCCCCAAGGTCCATCAACTGATGAATGGATAAAGAAGATGTATATATATATATATATATACACACACACACACACACACACACGATGGAATACTATTTGGCAATGAGTAAGAATGAAATCCCAATTTTAAAAGAGTAGCTACTTACCCACAAAAACACTGAGAGAACAAATCACACACAACTATAGGCTGGATTTAGCCGGCCGTGCTAACTTCTGCTCTGGAGTAACAAGCAAGCCATAAGCTTCAGTTTGTTGTGTGTTGTTTTGTTTTTTTGTTTTTTTTACCTGTGAAGCGGAATCATCATATTACCTCCTTTATAACATCACCATGGGGATTAAAGAACATAGTACGTCGTTAAGTGTTTAGCCCCGTTTGGCGCCATTCATTTTTGTAAGATGTGAGGAATTAGTCTGGACTCTAGGGTAAATCTGTCCTTTGTGCCTGTGCACTGGGGAAGGAGGTAATGCTTGTCCATTGTCAATGCAGGACAGCGACGCTGAGAAGAGCGACGACAACTTGGTGGTCGACGTTTCCAATGAGGTACGTTCAACCTCCTGCTCTCACCCGCTGTCCCAGTGACTCGTGCCCAAGCAGTTAGTGTGCACAGTGTGTGCCTAGTTTCTAAAGGGACCCGCTTTTTGTTTACGTGAAAAATTTATGCATTACTAGTTTTCTGTCTTAATCCTTTTTGTATTGCTATTCTTTTCCATGAAGTATCAGTGCCTTTTGCTATCACCATGAATGCACACCAGACCTCTGTGGTCAGCCTGCAGGTCTCGCGGACAGGCAGCTTGCAGATGTGTAGGGTACTGATTCTTGTTTTCAATAAGTACAGCTGACCCGGGGACAATGCAGGTGGTGGAGGGGGTGTTCAGGGGCACCAGCCTCCCGCATATTAAAAGTCCACATATAACTTGCCTTTTTTTTTTTTTTT